CTGAAAATCCAATCCATGTCTGTCTGTTCCTTGATCTATTTGTATTGGTGCTGCTATACCTTGTTCTTGTTCTTCTAATCTTTTTCCTTTCCTAAAACTTTGTCTGGCCATAATAGTGGACACATTTGAATTGTTAATTGCTAATTTTAATGTTAGTCCTAATTGATCTAGGAAATCTCATCCTCATAAATTTACGGGAAGATGATCCAATACATATGGCTGTATAGTTCCTTCACATCCTTCAGGATCCTTCCAATATAATACCATTGCACTTCTATGGGTATTAGTCGCCATTCCTAGTCCTTAAGCATTTGAGTGGCTTGTTGTAATGGCCAATGTTTTGGCCATTCTTGACGAGAGATGATGCTGAGGTCTGCACCTGTATCCAGTAGCCCATTAAATTCATGTCCTTGAATATTTAGTTTTAGCATGGGGCGAGAAAATCTAAATTTAAAGAAAGCATAGCCCAATCTACACCTGTGGAGCCTAATCCCCTGGAACCTCTTTCTACAGTACGACTGGAAAATTTATCATGCAGGCTGGGTATTATTAGTAACTATGCTATTCTATCTCCTGGTGAAATTACTGATATACCCTTTGGAGAACTGGCTATAATTTTTATTTCACCTTAATAATTGGGATCAATTACCCAGGACTTATCATAAGTCCTTTTAGAGTAGAAGAACTGCATCCCAATAATAAGCCTACTGTTCCTTTGGGAAGAGGTCCTTTCACCCCTGTGGGAATGATTTGAACTCCCATCTCTGGAGTTAGTACTGTTCTGGAAGAGACACAGATGTCCAATCCTGTGTTTCCTCTGGTTTGTCTAGTGAGGGATCTAATGGACAATGTGTCCTGGGCACTACCCTGATGGTGTTGCTGGGTTCCTCCATTGCCCTGTATATTTGTGGTCTTGGGCCCCAGAGCATTGGGCCCCCTCTGTCCATTTTTTGGCAATGGAGCCCAATGCCTTTCTCCACAATATCATGGATAGACTTCTGGCCCTTGTTCGTTTTTTGATAACAGAGTACCCTCTATGATGTTTTGAGAATGGCATTCATTAGCCCAATGTCTCCCTCTACAGCATCGTGGGCAAATACCCGGTATTCTACCCCTTTGATACCTAGTTTTGTTAAACCCTCCTCCTATGGGGCAATTCCTTTTAAAATGTCCTGTTTGTTCACAATTGTAGCATGTTTTTGGCCTGGCATCTAAAAACTGTTGTACTCAGCTGCCCAGACTTGCCTTTGTTCATTAATGTCTCTACATAATTTAATATGTGTGTTTAAATCTTCATATTTCCATGGTCTAATGACCTCTCTGCACCAACAATTCCCTTGCTCATAAACCAGTTGTTTTATTAATGGCATTACTTGTTCTGTATTCCCTACAACTCTGGTAGCTGTTTGAATAAGCCTATCTACAAATTCAGCGTAAGGTTCATTAGTTCCTTGTATTATCTTAGATAATTGACCTTGTAAACCTCCATGTCCTTGTAAAGTCATCCATGCTCTAACCGCATCTGCAGCAATTTGTGAGTATATGGCAGGATCATATGCAATTTGTTGCTGTTGATCCTCATAAGGTCCCTTTCCTAACAACATATCTAAATTTCTCTGAGGATAACCAGCTGCTGCATTTCGCCTAGCTGTCTCCTTGCAAAATTCCTCATTGGCAACCTTCCATAACAGGTATTGTCCTCCATTTAGCACAGTTTACACATACTAGTCCAATTTGCTGGCGTCATGTTCAAGTTGGTAATGGATTCGATCATGCTTGCAGTGAAGGGTGCTTGAGGACCATAGGTTGTTACAGCCTCTTTTAGCTGCTTCACTGTTTTGAAATCTAAAGCATGGTGAATTCGCTGCCCTCCTGCCTGCTCAAATACAGGGCATGCTAATATTTGAGGTCCTGTCTCAGGATCCCATCTATCAACTACGGGGGTTGGGGGCCTCCCAGCATATGGAGGTGGTGCTGTTGGTTGGACACTTACGTCCTCTGGTGATAGAAAGGTGCTAGTAGCAGTCTCCTGTTGTAACTTTTCCCCTGATAGCTTTTTCTGTCTGACTAGCTTGAGAGACCTTCTCTTTTTCTTAAATTTTTTTCCTCTGTCTGACTAGCTTGAGAGACCTTCTCTTTTACTTGAATTTTTTCCTCTGACTAACTTGAGAGACCTTCTCTTTTACTTGAGTCTTTTCCTCTGTCTGACTAACTTGAGAGACCTTCTCTTTTACTTGAATCAATATGTCTTCTCCTTCCTCTACCATTGTCTGAATTGAAGGCTTTGGACTAAGCAAACAAGACACCAACGCCCACAATGGCCATGTGCCAACTGGCAGAGTTCCTGGGTTTTTCTTTTTCTTTTCCCTTAAATCTTCACCATGATGGTTCCATTGTGAGATATTTAACAACTCCTCCTTAAAAAGCCTTGGGCTACATTTTTGCATTGTATCAACGTATGCCCTGACTGTTCTTGATTTTATGAGATGCCTCCTTCCTCTAACAATTTACTTAACACTCTTTCGGTTTGTTTTTTACTAATTTCTGATCCCATATTTCTACTATAATACAACCCAACAAGATGACGCCAAACAAAACCAAAACAGAATGAAACAAAAATGGAACAACAAAAAATCATTATGACAGCCTTTCTATCCTCCTGAAATGTCCATCCGTCCTTTCTCCCTATCTGTTCCTCAGACACAAATAGTTTTTCCTCAGATGTGAGCGGTTTTTCTTCCGTCTCACTCATCTCGAGGGACAGGCAACTTAAAACAAAAGCTAAACAAAACGAAAAAAGAATCTTAAAATGGCTACCCATCCTCTCCCCCTGCCCTCAGGGGCGAGCAGTTTACCTTATCACTTACCCTCAGTCATTCCCCGTATGGGCCACCAAATGCTGCAGTCTTGCTGGGCACAATTCACGAGCCACTTATCAAGCAGAAACGACTTTATTTTTAGAACACACGCCGCACCACACGAACTCTTCAGTAATTCCCTCAGAGCCCAACTGCCACCACTGGCTTCCTACAAGCCTCTCAATCCCCCCACTCCTCCTGCTCTTCAGGCCGAATGGCTGGGTCGTGTGGGTGGAGCCAAAAGAGTCCCCCAATGAGCAGCTCCATGGTCTGAAAGGGCAAGGAAACAGCCCAATGAGCATCACCGCAGAGGAGCCAATCAGTTGGCAGCTGGAAGTTTGCTGGGGCCCCTTTGGCTATGGCTCTCAACATGTTCCATCCTCAGCACCATGGGAATGTAAGAAAGGTATTGTGTCCACCTAAAACTTAAAAATAAATGAATATTAAAGATTTTGAAAAGTAGAAACTGCATCCAAGGGAGGGCAGAAAGAAGTGGCAGGCTGAGCACTGAAGTAAGAGTCACAGTGTACACAGTGACTTGCAGAAGAGGGTCCTCTCCAGAGGGAGGTCTAAGAAGGTCTTCACAGGAGGAGTGGCCCAGGGACACACTGAGAGTAACAGTCCTCTCTCCAGCAATGTCACCTGCTCTCTGAAGACAGAAGATTCCCAGGTGCACGTCATAGGGCAGGCATAGGGCAGAGTTCTCCACTGGATGACTTTCAGGAACTGAACCCTTCCCATTGGAACCAACACCTTCTTTCTGACCCTAGAATTCCTCCTTCTCCAGGCTTGATTCTCTTGGTAAAGACGAGCGTCCTGTTTCCTCTTGCACTCCTCCATCTTGCCCATCCAAGTGAGATGGGAAGGACAGTAAAAACCAGGGAGCAAACAGAGACATGGACAAAGGAGGAGACAGTAGCACATCCAGAGACAGTCCTCTGGAGACCTGGGGGTCAGAGACAAGGGCAGAGACAGCAATGTGCTGTGGAATGGGGGAGAGAAGTAGGTGCACGGGAGAGAAAATGAATGGGAAGATGGTTCTTGGCCTTGAAGAGGATGCCCGGGTGTGTCCACCTACGGGCCAGGTGATCCTGAAGCACTCACCGGGAAGTTTTCAGATGGGGATTCGTACCACGCAGGAGAGGCTGGAGCTTCCGAAACCTTTGCTGAGTTTTTCTCCACAATTCCCCTTTGGGGGTACCTTGACACCTCTGAAGGACGTCATTTCTTTCTGCAGAGGGAGGCAACGCCTGTGTGGATATGTGTGGGGAAGAAGAACCACAGGAAGCCCCCTACTCCTCCCGAGGACATGCACCAGGTAAGAAGGAAGCTGATCCAGCCCTGGGTTGCAGGGTGGGGATGGCCAACACAGGCGTTTGCTGTTGGGTTCACGCTGAGCACTCTCCAGCTAGTCCTCAGATGGAAGTCTTAGCATTCACCCTGGACTTTATGCTCTTTAAGAAATAAGATGTAGAGGCCCAAATTAGGGAAAATTGTTTAGAGAGATGAATGAAAGCAAATCATAACCACGTGGCAAGGAAGCATTGAGGAAACCTTGGAGAGCAGGTCAATCAAAACACACATTTTGAGGACTGGGGTTGTGGCTTAGAGGTAGAGCGCTCACCTACCATGCCCAAGGCATTGGGTTCCATCCTTAGCACCATGGGAATGTAAGAAAGGTATCGTGTCCACCTAAAACTTAAAAATAAGTGAATATTTTAAAAGTACATATTTTGAAGAGTGGAAACTGCATCCAAGGGAGGGCAGAAAGAAGTGGCAGGCTGAGCACTGAAGTAAGAGTCACAGTGTACACAGTGACTTACGGAAGAGAGTCCTCTCCAGAGGGAGGTCTAAGAAGGTCTTCACAGGAGGAGTGGCCCAGGGACACACTGAGAGTAATGGTCCTCTCTCCAGCAATGTCACCTGCTCTCTGATGACAGAAGATTCCCAGGTGCACATCATAAGGCAGGCCTGTCTTGCTGGCTCATCCTTCCAGAGTTCTCCACTGCATGACTTTCAGGAACTGAACCTTCCCAGTGGAACCAACACCTTCTTTCTGACTCTAGAATTCCTGCTTCTCCAGGCCTGATTCTCTTGGTAAAGGACGAGTGCCCTGTTTCCTCTTGCACTCCTCCATCTTGCCCATCCAAGTGAGATGGGAAGGACAGTAAAAAGCAGGGAGCGAACACAGACAGGGACAAAGAGGAGACAGTAGCACATCCAGAGACAGGCCTCTGGAGACCTGGGGGTCAGAGACAAGGGCAGAGACAGCAATGTGCTGTGGAATGGGGGAGAGAGGAGGTGCGCGGGAGAGGAAATGAATGGGAAGCTGGTTCTTGGCCTTGAGGAGGATGCCCGGGGCCAGGTGATCCTGAAGCACAGACCAGCAGGGTCTCAGATGGGGATTCGTCCCACCCAGGAGAGGCTGGAGCTTCCGAAATCTTTGCTGAGTATTTCTCCACAATTCCCCTTTGGGGGTACCTTGACACCTCTGAAGGATGTCATTTCTTTCTGCAGATGGAGGCAGTGACTTTGGGGATATGTGTGGGGAAGAAGAACCACAGGAAGCCCCCTGCTCCTCCCCAGGACATGCACCAGGTAAGGAGGAAGCTGATCCAGCCCTGGGTTGCAGGGTGGGGATGGCCAACACAGGCGTTTGCTGTTGGGGTCACTCTGAGCACTCTCCAGCTAGTCCTCAGATGGAAGTCTTTGCATTCACCCTGGAGTTTTTTGGGAATCACAAGGAGAAATTCTTGTGAATTCTGTTTGGAACAATATGGCCTTCATTGTTTGAATATGTGTTTTTCCTGCTCAGGTTGAAGTAATAAGTTCCAAGGAATGACTCTCGTTCTCTTTTATTGTTACATTGTAGTTGTGGATATTGATGGGGTTTGCTCTTCCATATTCGCACATACACGCGATTTAACAACCTAATTTGGCCAGTATCACTCCCCAGCATCCCCTCCCCCAGCCCGCCGTGGTTCCTGTCTTTAACTGATCTCCCTTTGATTTTTTGGAATTCGAGCCCCAGCTTTATTTTCCTCTTTCTTCTCCAGCTTCTTCATATGAGAGAAGGCATATGACCCTTAAGGAGTTAGACCTTTCCCCTTCATTCTTCCCGCCTATTTATGCTAAAAATTCAATATGTGGTTCTGATCCCTGCATGTCCACTATTTTCTGTGAACTCTCTGGCTCCACCTGAGCATACTGAGATACGTTTCTGGGTCCTTCTGCGTGGTCTATTGTGTCCTTGTATCTCTTCAGTGTCCTGGGAACTGGATACTACCCAGATGGCCCCCACAGACAATCTAGAGGAGGTGGTCAGCCATTCACTGTGGACTGGAGAAGGCAATTGTGTTATCTAGTCCCAAGCAACTGCGGAATCTTTGTTTCTCCCCGTCTTCTCCCATTCCACCCTGCTGCTTGCAGTTACCAGGCAGAGGAGCCAAAGGAAGGGGTCAGAAATAAGAGAGAATGTGCTGTTCAGGGAGGGAGCGAGGTGGGAAGACTGTCCCCTGCCTCTGGAAAGAGTGACAGGAGCTGCCTTAGCCTCCACGTCAGGAGGATTCAAAGGCAGGAGGGTCTGAGGCCAGGAACGTCCCAGGAGCCACTTGAACTGCCTGGGCTTCCTGGCCTTCCCGTGTGGGCTCCTGTCATGGTATCCTGGGGTTGAACATGGAGTCCTCGAAGGGTTTCATTCTCTTCTGCAGAAAGCAACAGCTTCTGTTTACAAATGTCTGATGAAGAAGAGGCCCAGGAAGGCTTGGGCTCACCCCCCGCGGGTGAGCCAGGTAAGGCAGGGAGGGGTGGCGACGGCTGCTGGGTGTTGGGGGGCTAGTGTTTCCTGGTGGGTTTACTCTGAATGTGCTTCATGATGAAATGATCCTGTTACTCTTCACATTTCCCCTTGGCCTTTTGGGGAAATTCAGGGAGACAAGAAATCTCGAGAAACTCTGTGATTAAGGAGTCTTTTTGTTTGTTATTAGGTATTGGCAGATGCACTTAAATTCGAAAAATACTAGGATAAGAGAATGCTGTTTTGCCTTCATCTTTTCACCACTATTAGTATTATTATTTGAATTCAGATAACAATTTATGTTCCCATTCACTCCTTATCTTCTATGGAAATTAAAAAAAAAGCTTAGCATTTCTCTGCTGGTTGATAATTTTTTTACAGTTTTGTCACAAACTTGACAAAGCCTTCAAAGAAACACTAATGTAGTATCTAATTGATAGAATTTAGATGAGCTATTTATAAAAACAGATTCTGTTTTGGACCAGTGTTCTTCCTGTGCCATTGGATTACACACTGTTTTTTCAGTGTGCTTCAAAATTACGTTCTTCTTCCATCCTCAAAAACTTTAAGACACAGGCAGGGAGATGTTGCTACTGTTTTGAGGAACTAGAAATAAGATGTATATAAGATGCAAGGAAAGAGAAGTCCCACGAAAGAAAAGCAGAGTGGAGATGCACATGGGCTTCAGGTTCTGAGAAGCTGGCATGAGGTTGGGCCATGTTCAATGTCCAAAGCAGAAGTCCAAGGGGCCTTTGGGTACCCAGAAATCCACTAGGATTCCATGGACAGAGATTTTATTTAGCAAATAAGAATGCTTAGGGAGAGAAGAGGGGGGAAATCACAGAAAATATGTGAATGTAATCTTCCATATGAGATAGGAGATACCCAGAAGAGTAGAGCCTGAAGAGGTGAACACAGAGGCAATGTGAAAAAGTAGACACAGAGAATCACCGAAGGAGAAAAAGGCAGATAACCATGGAGACTGGAAATGTCAGGGAGAAGATCCAGAAAGTCAAGGAGAAGCACGGAGGCCCTTTATGAGGTGTAGCAATGAAAATGTGTATTCAACCAAAGGCTGAACTCATTGTTTTTTAACCGAGGAAGAATTGTGCTTATGAGTCCAGTTTCTCTAAATAGCACTCCTACTGTAGAATGTTTGGGGAGAGTGTGGAGCTCAGGGATTGGAGGATCTTTGGAAATGGCCTTGCATGGGGACTAGCTGACCCTTAGTGAGAGCAGGCTAACGGGAGCATGGCCCCTTCATCTCTGCTGACTGTCAGAATCTTGGGGATGTGATGATGGGCTGGCTTTCAGAGGCCTGTGTCCTGGACAGAAGCTATCATTGACTAATTGGGATGATTCTGGCTTTATTTGTTCCTGTGGTCAAAGAATAATGAGTTTTCCTAGGACCTGTAGGAACTTTGAAATCTGTTTCCCCATGAGGAAGTCCCTTCTAAGAAGATGCAAGAAAGGCCATGAAGGTATTATTGGAAGAGGACACTGGATTAAAACTCCTAGGCTTCTCCCCCCACTGAGTAACAGGGCTGCTGGACTGAGTGTTCAGCCTATGGAAGAAGACAGAAAAAAGAGAAGTCGTGATATTTAGTAATTAGTTGATCAAATGACTAATTCCTTGTGGTTGTAGGGCTGAGGTCACAGCTTTGCTGCTGGTTCTTGGCCAGGGCTTACTCAACCCACAGGGCCACTCACATCCCCGGACACATGGCCCCCGCATCTCCAAGGGAGCAACAGTGTGTGGAGTCCTGTGCATGCTCTGAACTTCAGAGTGCCTCTTCTGCTGCCCGCGGGAAAACATTCAGTACTTTTAAAGGGCTCATGTGACTAGATTCAGCCCACCTTGATAATTCTCCCCTTCTCAAGGTCAACTCTGCAATATGACATAACCTAATCGTGGGAATAACACCTCATGTCCATAGTTCCTTAGATTAGGGAAGAAAATCTCCAGGAGCCTTCGTAGAATTCTGCCTACCAAGCAGTGTTTAACAAAACCCAGAGAAAATAACTGTCTAGATGAGCCACTGATTTCCCCAAGAGAATAATATTAAATGGGACATCAAATGAAAGTAGAACATAAATGTATGAAAGAAAAGAATCTGTCTTTAGATGAGGCTGAAGAGATTATAGTAAATGGATTAGGTGCCACAGGAAGTGAAGTGTAGCTGTTCTGTTTAGTGCTTGCAGATCTTAAATCACACACAGTGGAGGAATGCCAATGTTCAGATCAACTATAAACTGATCATGCATGGGAAAATTTTTTGGGAACTTCTAAAATTAGTCCTTGTGTATGTTTTTTAATCTGTCAGTCCCATTTGCAGAAGAGATCTCTACCTAGTACATCTGTAGGGATATTACTAAAGAAAAGAAAGCTATGTAGATATTTTGTAATTTTGTTCTGAAAGTAACAGTTTCTGGTTGGGATATGGGAACATCTGGAGATTTCCCCCCTTCTTTTACAGAAGTACTTACCAAATGTGTTTGTTATATTTGTTTGTTTATTTCTTTCTTTTTGGTACTGGGGATTGAACCTATGGGCACTTAACCACTGAGCCACATCCCATTCATTTTTATATTTTATTTAGAGTCAGGATCTCACTGAGTTGCTTAGGGCCTCACTAATTTGCTGAGGCTGGCTTTGAACTTGCAATCCTCCTGCCTCAGCCTCCTGAGCCACTGGGATTACAGGCATCAGCCACCACGCCTAGCTGAAATGTGTTACTTTTGACATGTCAAAAGTCCCTCCTTGTAATCCAGTTACCCTTTCTTGCCATTTATTCAGATGGGTGCAAGAGTTAGAATCATAGGGAGTCTCTAAAGGAGGGGCAGGTTTTGTCAGGGAGTACTTGTGGCTTTAAGGAAGACAGTCATGTGACAAACAGCGATGAGGCCATTGCATTCAGCAATGAATGTGAATGGTGTGGGGCCCAGGCATGGAACACTGGGATCACTAACCAGAGACTCAAAAGGAGACACATGACCAATGACACGAGAATAACTTAATCCAGCTTGCATACCACATAAATGATTTGTGGTTCAAACTGACAAGACACCAAGTTGCCCTCTTGAAGGTTGTGATGAGGAACCCAAGACAAAGTGTGACCAAACATCTTTGCACAATTTGGCCACTGTCTATGAACCCACATCCATCAGTTTGGGGGGCTGGCTTGGATTAAGGACTTATTAGACCTTTGCCTCCATATATGTGCTTTGGATCATGTTCTTTTCTTTTTTTTAAAATTTATTTATTTATTTATTTTTATGTGGTGCCAAGATCAAACCCAGTGCTTCATGCATGCAAGGCAAGTGATCTATCACTGAGCTACAACCCCGGTCCCAGGATCACATTCTTTTAATATTCAGAAAGCACAGGAAAATCAGAAACAGACAATACAAGACTTTTAAAAACAGACAAAAGTGAGAACAAATGATATAGTGGAGAATAAGTACATAAGTGGAGGGAATAATTGCTAGATGCTGTACTTCCAAACCAAAATATCTAAACAAAACCAAATTAAATCAGATGAAACAATTTAAATCAGATAAATTCAGAAATAAAAGCCCAGGGAAACAATCCAGAGCTCAAGTTGTTGTTAATGCTGATTCATTTGGCAGTGGGCCAGGAAGACCACTGAGCTAGGCCCAGGCCCAAGAGGTATGGAATTGACCCCCGTGAGGTGCAAGGGTCCCATTGGACGTTCTTAAGCAAGTCTTCCAGAGGATATTGGTGAGGACTCCAAAATTTGAAGGGAGAACTCATCACTTAATATCTGAGCTCAGTATCTGAGATTGCTAAGCAAAGGTCCCGTTGGGAGGTGACACTGTGCTTATGGGACACAGTCTCTATGAAACAGGAAACTGCTGATTTTTTATCAAGTTTTGGAAAATAAGGATTTCGGGACCCAACCCTTCTAGAAGCAGGAGTGTTTATTTGTATGTTGGCATTCAGCCACTGTTCAGGCTTTTTTAAGGGGTGTTGGCCGATGGCTCCATGTCAATCCTGCAGGGCTGCCTCTGATTGGCTGACTTTGAGCAATGTGGTTAGTGATGTAAGTGGTCACTGGCAATTTGGGATGAGTTTGAAAATGGTTCTGCTGGGTACTCTTTACTATTTCCAAAGAACAACTAGTGTTTTTTGTTTTTTTTTTTTCTGGAAGAAAAGAACTTTTTTTTAAAAAAAAATTCTCTGGACTACAAGTAGAAAGATATAAGTTTTAGAAAAGGCAAGTGAGGTGTCAAATGGAAAGAGCAGGGCTCTGCTGGATCTTGGGTGTGGTTATTGAGCAGATATTATTCCTCCCCCAGTTCATCTTAGCCTAGAACTTCAGTGTGTGTCATGGGAGCACCAGGACTCTTCCCTGGTCACTGTCTCAGGATCCATGGACAGTAATCTTCTTGTTTCTCATTAGTATCTGGTGAATTAGAAGATCACCAAACGAATAAAGAAGGAGAGTCAGTAGAGCTCACTTCCAACCTGCTCTGCTCTGATGGACAAGGTAATTAGGACTTAAAAATCATTAAAACAGACACAGTTCTGATAAAGAGGAAAAAACGTGATTTAACTTTTGATGGTTTCAAGTTTTACCTGGTGTTTAAGGCACAGAAGCTAAGAAGGGAAGATGGTACCCAGCCTTCTGCTTAAACATTCTTACCTTTCAACGATAATTATTTTCTACTCACACTTTACTGAAACTTTTGGGCCCTTTTCATAAGCACAAGTACATATCCCTTAAAAAAATTAAAGGAAAGACAGGGAGGGAAAAAAAAAAGTAAGACTGAAAGGAAGAGTCAGATACAGGAGAACAATGAAGGGAAATTTTTCAGAGGAAGAAATAGAGAAGGGGACCAACGGGTGTGGGGGAAAAGGCGGCAAGGCAAATGAGACGTCTTCAGAAATCATAATTTTGTTCCAGACACAGAGCAACCAGCACAGGGAAAGTGTTCCTGTGTCATGTGTTTCTCAAGAGATGTGCCAGGAGGCTCAGGAACAGGGGTGGACAGCAGCCAAGCACAGGATGCGACGGGTAAGGCTGCGGGGCCGTGGTTCGGGAGGGCTTTGGGAGGGCTTCGTGGGTACCACGGGCCCCGGTAAAGCAGCGACTGGTGATGCAGTCCATCCCAGAATCCCTCTCTCTGTGTTTGCTTGGCCTGAGGCTTTGGGACCTGCAGGGAGGCTAGAAATCTTTATACAGTCCCATTTAACAGGATGGGTTCTGTTGAGCATGTAAGCACGATGTAAAAATGCACTCTTTAAAAATGGCAGGTACCTTCTTTACTACAGTTAAACACAATTTTCCCAGGAACCCAAGAAAACCACCTAAACTTCCGCTGCTAGACTACAGTGTCACTTTCCCACAGCCTTAGAAAGGTGTCTGTCCACAGGCAGAGTTGTCTAACTGGCAGGAGGAAAGGCTTCAGACCAGCTGTTCTCAATCCAGGGCACGTTTTCTACTGAGAGCCTCCAACGTGTCACTGATTTGCACAGGGATTGCCTATATAATTTTGCAAAATTTTAAATCTTATTTATCTGTAGAAAATCTGAAGGCCTAAGCAAGGGCAGGGGCACTGCTTCTATTACTAAAGAAACAGTGTTTCAAAGTCCTGTTGTGGAAAAAAAGAAGACCCAGGGCCCCTCCTGAACGCTTACTTCTCAGTTCAGTAGGTTTTTGGATTGTTTTACAAGGAAGAACGAAATGATAATCCAGATATTTTTGTAAGTGTAAGCCTTCTGCATTAGAAATTCTCCTAAGACTTGTTTACTTTTATTTATTAATTTCTATTTCCTTATTATCTCTTGTTATTTTCTAGACACTGGGAATATTGGAAACCAAGCTACTTTAGGAAAACCCAAGAGCAAAAGAAGTAAGAATAAATGAGACTTTACTTGCTTCTAATGTTGCAGATGAGTCTTTAATGCTTATTATTATTATCACCATTATTACCATGCCACGGTAGACAGAATGATGGGTTCCCAAAGATGCCTGTGACTGAATCCTTGGAATGTGTAATCTGTTTTCTTCCAGATAGAGTTAAGCTAGGGACCTGGAGAGGGAGAAACTATTTGAATCATCTGGGTGGGCCCAATCTAATTTTATCAACCTCAGAAAGTGGAGAGGCTTTCCTGAGAGAGGGAGGTGTGATAGTGGAGGGGTGGTGGGAAGGGTGCAGTGTTGCTAGTTTGGAGGTAGAAGAAGGGACCAAAGCATGTGATTGGCCTCAGAAGCTGGAAAACTCAGGAATGTAGATTCTCCCTACAGCCACCAGAAAGAGATTTCTAACTCATATAACTATCAGATCATAATTCTGTGTTGTTTTAAGTCCCTAATTGGGTGGTAATTGTTATGGAAGCAATTGAGAGCAAATCAGCTTTTGGTTCAGACCGGCACTGTATAGTGGCATTACTACACTAGCAGACCACAGATGTGGTGGTCCTGCAAGACTGCATCACCTAGTGAAGTTGTAGCTCTCTTGATTGGTGTAAGTACATTCTGTGACGTTTGCGTAGTGACAAACCACCTGCAACACTTTTCTCAGAATGTGTCTCCACCGTTAAGTAATGTGTGACTCTACTTGGAAGTGGGGTGCAACCGTAACTCAGAAGTTATGTGGAAGTGAGTGGATTTAGGTAGTGAGTAGAGAATGGAAGGGTTGTAAATAGCAGGGTAGAAAGGCTTAGAATGTCTTGAGCAGATCATTGGTAGAAATATGGATGCTAAAGGCTCTGCTTGAGAGCACTCAGAAGGGAGTGAAGAACATGGTAGAGAAATTCTGTGTTGTCTCAGAGAATGCCTAAATCAAGCCCAACAGACGTTTAGTAAAAGTATGAAGGCTGCAGGTATCATGGGTGAGGCCCAGAAAGGAATAAAAACATGTCTTTGGAGACTGGTGGGAAGGGGCTCTTTACTATATAGTGGCAGAAGGCTTAGTGAAATTCTGTCCCGCCACTCTGTGGAAAGTCAAGAGATTTCAAAACAGAGTTAGAAGGTGCATCCTGCTATCTTTGCCAATCATAGTAAAGTTTAAGAGGAAAGGGATCAATTGAGGGAAGAACTGCTAAAAGAAAAGAAATAAAGGCTTGGTGAGCTGGAAAATTCTCATCCTGTCCAGGTTGCAAAAGATGCTCAGATTAGGAAACTCACTGTCAGGAAAGTGTGCTTTCAGAGGTGACCTAGAGTGTCTGTGAAGTAGTGTAAGGTTGGAGTGTTCACTCAAAACTAGGTTCTATGAAGAGAGGAAGTGTGGGACTATAGATCCATTCAGTCATCTCATCAGAAGTTAAAAACATTTGGGTAACTAGGGAAGATCTATGGGGTGCCTATTGTCTAATGGAATGCCCATGACATATGTGGGAGATCCCTAGGATTCCTGAGAATATTGTAGCAAGAGAATGTTGTCCATGTTCTGTAGAATTTATAATCTGTTACTGTAGGTGGCAAAAGGGAATTTGAAGATAGGAATCAGGGCTGGAGGTATGTGGCTCAGTCCTAGAGTATTTGCCTAGCATTCACGGGACCCTGGGTTCAATCTCCAACACTGCAAAAGAAATTTTTAAAAATGAAGATAGGATTAAGTTAAGGATACTGAGGTAGGGAGAGTATTCTGGATTATTTGAATGGTGCAATCAAATCACATGGAGTTTTAAAATCAGAGATCCTTTTCTCCTTTGGAAGGAGGGATACCTAAGGGCATGTGACCACAGGAGAACCATCAGAGAGGCGCAGTGTAGCTAGCTTTGAAGATTAAGTAGGGTCTCTGAACCAAAGATTGTAGACAGCTGCGGGAAGCTGGAAAGAGCAAAGAAATGACTTTTCCACTAGGGCCTCAAGGAGGAAACAGATGCCTTGTGGGACTGGGGGACCCACAGCTGATTTTTGACCTGTACTGTGAGTCAATAAGTTCATGTTGTTTGAAGTCACCAAGTTTATAGTAATTCATTATGACAACAATGGAAGACCAGTACATTCAAAAGACAAAAAAAAAAAAATCCACCATATATAATTATATTAGATTTGAATCTTTTTCACTGTATAATTTCATTTATATTAAATACTTAGTTAAAATTATAAGACAAGAAGAGTGGTAGTTGCTAGGATATATTAGATTTTTAAAAATATAAATTTGTTTTTTTATTTTTTATTTTATTTTTTTTTAAATTTATTTATTTTTTTTATTGTTGGTCGTTCAAAACCTTACACAGTTCTTAATACATCATATTTCACAGTTTGATTCAAGCGGGTTATGAACTCCCAACTTTACCCCGTATACAGATTGCTGTATCACATCAGTTACCCT